TAAACCACGACACTGGGCTGCAACCCGGTAAAAGTGAAGAAGACAATAGAATAGATAGATTCAACCATCAATGCATCTAAAGGTTTAAAATCTTCCCTCCAACCAAACGCTATCTGTAATTGCTTTCCTGCACACTGAAGTGCAAATTAAATATTTCGCGAATGATCACGCATTTCTAATATAGAGATCATGACACTGGTTTCTGACTCTCGCTAACAAAACGTGATTCTCGCTAACAAACGTGATTCTCGGCGGAAATGGTGAGTACAGTTAACTTTTTTTTTCAAGCCCGTCCTACTTTAGAAGAAAAGAATAATAGATCACCTGCCTGGTATCAAGCATGTCGTAAAATAGCGACTTATTATGGAAATGTTCTTCGAAGTCAGAGTACGCCTGCCTTAGAGGCGAGGAGCCAAAAGCCTTCACACAATAAGCCAAAATAACGGATGTGGGCGCAAAAGTCAAGTTTTGGAACAAGACTCAAGTCCAGAAATTTTAAGACGACATCTCCGTTTTTGACATGCGGCAAAGAGGAGCAACGTTCTGGTCATGTTTTGCCCTACCAGGACATCATACACAGCGATAAACACCTGGTGACAAAAAAGAACCAACATTCTGATGAGGACCACCCGTCGAGAGATCCCTGAAACACCGTTCAACCGTTAGGTAATAATAGAGCCCTAGGCAACATCTAGGGAGGGGCTCCAAATTTTTAAAAAATTGCAACACACATGGGGAGATGAATGTATATTAATCAACGTTCTATTTTGGGTTTCATTAATTTGTAAAGGGGGAACCTATAGAAATTCATCAGCCAATAAAGATCCGGTTTGTTAGTGGGTGCTTTGTAGTAGAAAGTTTCAAAACGGCGTGACTTCTAAGACAGACTGTTCACAACCGGGTGAGGCGCACAGAGTGGTGACCCCAGAGTCGGTTAAAAATTATCGAGCGGCCACCTTCAAACTGTTATCATGATGTCACAGTGTGCGTCTGCACAGTGATGTCACGTGCTTAATACTCTTGCCCCCCCCCCCTCCCAACCCCCTAAAAATCATATTGACAGGTACAATGGAAAAGTTACTGTATACGCTTTATTAGAGGCTAGAGAATTTAAACAGATTATTTAATCTCTGATATTCACGTTTTGTCCAGATAAACCCCATAAGTAAACTGAATAAAAGCCTTTACAAAAGTATTGTTTGTGTTTCTCTCTGCAGGAGTTATTTGTTACTGAATGTGACATGATTGTAAACCTAAAATAAATCAACTTAAGTGATTTAATCGTACATTGATCAACAAACCAATCAGCGGCAGCAGTTTGTCTGGTGTATTGTAAAGTGAATGTTACAATGAACCATTGACGCTATAGTACAAAGTAAACCACTCACGCAATAGCACAAAGTGTTATTGTCATTTGCTAAATATAGTAGTCACATCGTGGTGTTTCCTTGAATTTCTTTCCTTCGAAAAGCATTTTTTTAGTGAAATAATATGTTGTCTTGGTTTAGTTTTCATGGAAGGACATTATCTTGTGCAATAAGATGTTGGTTTTTCTCTCCCGAGACTAGGATTTTATTTTGTGCAGTGAGGTAGTTTTCAGACGAGGGACATCTTACCCAATGAGATACTTTTTTGGCGAAGGACATCTTGTGCAGTGAGATACTTTTCTGGCAAAGGACATCTTGTGCAATGAGATACTTTTTTTGGCGAAGGACATCTTGTGCAATGAGATACTTTTTTTGGCGAAGAACATCTTGTGCAATGAGATACTTTTCTGGCGAAAAACATCTTCTTTAATTAGACAGTTTTTTGACAAAGGATATCTTGTTTAATAAGATGTTTGTGTGTGTGTGTGTGTGTGTGTGTGTGTGTGTGTGTGTGTGTGTGTGTTTTTTTTTTAATCGAAGAACTTTTTTTTTTTTAATATCCAGAAACCATGAGTTGTTAACCCTTTGGTTCGGTACTATGGCTATCACAACCCTTCGGCCTTGATTCCATGATAAGTACCGTTAATCTGGGAGAAAATGTGGCTTTTCTGCCAACCCCCGGGAGTGAACCAGGACCACAAGGAGTTCGTTACCCAGTCACCGCGCCGTCCGGTTCAGCCAACTACGCTAGAGAGTCGGGTAAGAACTTGATCAATGAGATAGTTTTCTGACAAAAGACATCTTGTTCAAATAGATAGTTTTCTGACGAAAGACATCTTGTTCAAATAGATAGTTTTCTGACGAAAGACATTTTGTTTAATTAGATAGTTTTTTGACAAAGGATATTTGTTCAATAAGATTTTTCTTTGCGAAAAATTTGTTCAATGAGATATTTTTCTGACGAAGGACATCTTGTTCAGTGAGACATTTTCCCGGCGAAGCATGATATATGTTTTCCAGCGAGAAATATCTTGTTCAATTAAATATTTTTTTTCAAGCAAAGGACATCTTGTTCGTTGATTCAAAAATGTTGATTGGACTGTAGAATTGATTACACATTAGTTGCCAGATTGCTCAACATATGCTAAACTATGAAAACTATTTAGGTCTGCACCTGCACGTTTGAAGGCTACTCTGTGAAGATTTCAGCAAACTTGAATTGACTGCTGCGTTCTTTAAATATACATAAGCTGAATTCTGAATATGTACCAAGAATGAACGAATCATAAATTGACATCACTGCACTCGAGACATTCCCACAAGTGTTCTGTCTCCTTCTTCTAGAGCGGAGTTTCTCACTAATAGTGCCAGTAACAGTCTGATCAAACGTCACCCCGTCATTTCGTCCCACTCGTTGAATCGTCTCCACACCCGCTGCTCACCTGCATGGACTCGAGGCGTGGTGTTCGCTTCCAGTGCTAGAGGTTCCGGGTTCAATACCCGGTAAGGGCTGGGATTTCTTCATGTGGTCGTGGACTGCTAGTAATTCCCCCTGGTCTCTGGGTAGTGAGATCGGACACCCGTGCGCATTGTTGCGCACGTAAAAAATCCCTTGGCTATTGGAAATCGAAAAGAGGAACATAAGGCGCTGCCCGGGCAAAATTTGAAGTTGAAAATCTACCCAAAGTATTTCAGGATTCTTACCGGTGCTACAAGCCTGTGCACTGTGCTGAGCTTCTTTGGACTCAGACTTTAGTTATAAGAAGAACGGATCACTTATGGGTTACATCCGTGTGCTATGATGTTAATCCGTGTTCAAAACCTCAACACCACTGAATCAGTCCCTCTAGAATGCTGATTTCCTGCTCTGGTGCACTGATTCAAGAGAGCCTTCACCACACCTGCGTTGTCATAAAGAAGCCTGTCACAAAGAGAAGCAGCAGCAGCCATTTATCGGCTTGCTCATTACCCCGGACACTCGCATATCCTGAACAGAAATTAATGTACATCGACTACTTAGGGCAAGAAAGACATTGATTAACTTGTTTCTTGTAGAACTAATTTAAACAATAATATCCTGTTCAAACCATATCGGTTATAATTTGGATTAACAAAGATTTTTTGAGATATCAAATATTTATGCTTATCATTCAGTTTTGAATATTCACTTTTTATAGATTATGTATTAATTTGACAGAACGAAGAAGTAAAGGTAAAGTTGGGAAATGTGAAGTGAACCAGCGTCATTAAACACGGTTTTAAACGATAAGTGCTCTGCCACCAGTATGGACAGCTGATAAGAAACTGTCCGCCCGTGTCGCCATTCACTCGAAACTCCGTAGCTACAGAGACGTTCCTTCATTTACCTCAGAGTGTTAACTCTGGTACCCATTCCCTAGAGGCTGGGTGAACCCCGGGAAGCGCCCAGTTTTAAACACCGGCCTTTGGCTGCAGCGAGTCGCAGCTGAATTTCAGAACGAGTCTCCTATCAACTGCGCTAACGTGGCCCCCTAGAAGAAGAACAAAGAAGTATAGACTATTAAGTTAAGTACAAATTAAGCGTAATTATTTTTGTTATCACTGTGTAAACATTTTGTGAAATCTTTCTTTGGGAATATTTAAAGTGATCTGGGATATATATATATATATCTTTTTTTTTTAGTGACTCATCATTTACAGGACTTTGCAGATCCAAGCCCCAACATATGTTGGCTGTTAGTGATTCTACACGGCAATTTTACAGTTAGTAGTTTGCCCTTGCCTACTAAACAGCCAGCTCTCCATGCGATTGTTCAATTCAACAAAAGGCGGTTTGCTGCAAAATTGCCAGCAGATTGAAACCAGTTTATCGGGAAGTTCCAAATCAAGTTTTAGTGGCTAAACGATGGACGCCGGCGACCTACGATATATAAAAACGTCACATGCGAAAGGTTGTACATAAATTCGTATCCCTGTTTCGTCTGGACTTAATGTTACTTCCTAACCGTAATATAACCTTACGATTGAAAAGGTTTACCCGGATTTGTATCAGTGGGATTTTCATCCTTAAGGTGTTAATCCTGTGCACTGCAATCCTGGCAAAGACAAAGTGTTAATTCTGCGGATTGAAATCATGGCGGAGTAGACAACGTGGTAATACTACGGACTGCAATCCTGACGGAGGAGACAACGTGTTAATCCTGTGCACTGCAATCCTGGCAAAGACAAAGTGGTAATACTAAGGACTGCAATCATGGCGGAAGAGACAACGTGTTAATCTTGCGGACTGCAATCCTGACAGAGGAGACAAAGTGTTAATACTACAGACTGCAATCCTGACGGAGGAGACAACGTGTTAATACTACAGACTGCAATCCTGACGGAGGAGACAACGTGTTAATACTACAGACTGCAATCCTGACGGAGGAGACAACGTGTTAATCCTGCCGATTGAAATCGTGACGCAGGAGACTACGTGTTAATACTACGGACTGCAATCCTGGAGACAAACGGCAAGCGAGCAAGCAAAACTTGTATTTAGCATTTATTTAAAAAAAAAAAAAACAGCCATGAGATATCAATAGCACATATGCATGCTATCGAGAAGATCCTGTCAGCATTTATCTGTTCTACTTTATTTCATTTCTCAGCGTGATGATTCTTATAAAAAGTATATTCATCATCGTTTTTACAACCCGCACCGAAGAACGACAGAAAAATACTAACATTGTCTTCGCTTCCATTGCAATCAATGATTTGGTAAAAGGTGTCGTCTTGCTCTATTATCAAGTTGCAACAATTCCTTTCTACAAGCCCAACGCTCTGTGGAACAATACATCTGACAGTTTTTTATTCGGTGCCTGTTATGGAAATGTTATTTTATCTTTCCTCCATTTGGCTGTACTAACTCTGGATCGCTATGTGTATATACTTCATCAATTTTTCTACATGAAACATGTAACAAAACGACGGATCTATCTTGTACTGCTTTGTATTTGGATTATAGGTCTCATTTATATAGTTATCCCTATTTTTGTGTATGCAGACGAGAAATACCACGAGAGATGCATGATTCTCCACCCACCAGTTGAGTATTTCTGTTTATCTTCATGTGTATATGTTTTTATGCTGATAGTAGTTTTCATTTGCTGTTTAAACATTGCTTGTTTAGCTTTCAAACGCAGAAAAGCTGCCAATAATCGAAGAAGGACTGCAACCGACATCTTGGATAGTACAATATTTAGAAGTAATCGATCATCAGCAGTCAGAAGCTTCAAGTTCTTTGTGCTTATGTTTGGTATTTTGGCTGTATGTACTTTGCCTATTATTTTAACAATATGGCTAGGATTTTTGTACGATGTGTCAGACAACATTACCAGCGGTATGTTTTTCTTAATGCTCGCTTATTCTGTGGTTAACATTTTTATTTATGTTAAAATGAATAGAAATGTACTTCGTTTGGCTCTGTCTCGATGTTGTAATGCCGTCTGTTTCTGCAGAAAGAGCGAGAAATAAATAATTTATTTTTATCACTCTGAACCCATTTATACAGTGCAGCTGTTTTATTCTGCTATCAAGGAAAGATATAAAACCGAACGAAAAGAATATCAGCAACAAATATATCACACTACCATGATTTTGTTCAAATAGAAAATAAATGTTTGTGTCAAGATGAACCGATTTATAATCATTTATGTTAACCCTGTATGGGTTCCGAGGTCCCATTATGGGGCAAACAAGACTAGTTCCCCCTGCGTACCCAAAGTCATGTGATAGGAATCGACTAATTGAAAGCTTCCTTCAATATGGCAGTTAAAAAAAGAAGTTAGTTGCGTATTCTTTTCAGGATATTGCAAACCAACCAAAGCACTTTTTTTTGGGGGGCTGATGTGGTTTTTCTAGGCAAATTTACGTCCAGTAGTTTGCCATTGCTTTCTGGACGGTCGGCTTCTCGATACCACTGTTGAAACCAACGCAAGGCGCAAGGCCCGCAGCTGGGATCGAACCCGGCACCCCGGCATTACGAAACATGTTAGCAACGCCTAAGCCAAAGATTCCGACAGATGGTATAAACTAAAAACTCAATTGTCAGGACTTTAACTTTCTTTTAGTCTTTGCAGTGTAATTATTCGTTTTATCCAAAGTGTCAATCTATCATCATCATCATCATCACGTGCCTTGCCGACTGGCGTGGGCGATCATGCCTCTCCATTATCTGCGATCTCCTGCAGCATGTATCAGTTCGTGTGCCGACACACCTCGATGCCATGCAACAAGACTGTCAAGCATCTTCTCTCGTTGTCTTCCTCTATCCCTTTTTCCACAGATCTTTCCAGTGGTCACAATATGTTCTTTTTTCCCTCTTCTCATAACATGGCCGAAAAATGATGACTGTCTCCTTCTGATGTCTGTGATAAGTTGTCTTCGGGCTCCCGCCTATTTCAAAACCTCTTGGTTGCTCTTTTTGTCTATACTGCCCGATAAAACTACAAACTGAACCACGCTAGATCACATGAGAAATGATGTTGTCAGACAGAGAATGACATGCACTAAATTCATCGAAAAGAATAAGATGAAATGGTTTGGTCATCTGGTTAGAAGGCATCTACGGCAACTGACAGCACAGAAGCGACATCTGGTTAGAAGGCATCCACGGCAACTGACAGCACAGAAGCGACATCTGGTTAGAAGGCATCTACGGCAACTGACAGCACAGAAGCGACATATGGAAGACTTTCAACGTGTTTCTGTAACATCTCATGTTTTCAAGTCGTTATTGTTGTTGTTTTGTGCGTTTATATATATACGTATATACATTAGCATTTTGTCCACTTTACATCCCCTCTAAACAGCTAACAACAAAAAAATGCTTTCCCCCCACCCCCCCCCCTTTTTTTTTACATCGCAGCCTCAAAAACAGCTTGTCCGTAGACACAACGCAGCTACTAATGTATTTAATTGTTACTTGTAACAGACACACACGCAAACACACACACACACACACACACACACACACACACACTTCCGGTCAAAATGGACTTTAGGAAGCGGCACTGTTGGAAACAGAGGCAAATTTTTTGCTTCTGTCGGACGGTGGCCGATGCATTTTTGCTCCATTTGTAGAATGGATATAGTTTCGTCGCCCAGCTTCTGAGTTGAATGGCATGACCCTGTGAGCTGCGGATTGCATTTGGAAACTTTTTTCGACTGTGACCAACGTGTTGGTGTGAATTGTATATTCAGAAAATGGCGCGATGCCTGTCGTGCAGTGTTGTAGTGTCCGTATGAGATTAAAATTGATCGCGTGGGCAACTGCTGATCTGTTGGCGACAAGTTCTGCTACCATCAATGATGAACTGCAATTCTAATACTGTGATAAACATTGTGTGTGTTTTTCGTTGGCACAGGAGCAGAGCAAAGATGCGGTGTCCCGTTTGCTATGAAGCTTAAACTAAGACTACCAGACTACCAGACACACACACACAAATCACACAACTTGCATGGTGTTAGCAATGAGGTGAATAGTTTCGCAAACAGTATCACATGCTGACAGCTGATGTATTTTGACCAGTTTAACGTCATTATAAGCCTGCAGAGAACAGTGATGGAGGATTCAGTTGCTGGAAAACTACGCAGTTGGATGTAGATACAACACTCTGATGGTGCATGGGCTCTGAAAGCACATAGGGTTGGAGAATTAGCTAGAAAACGAGAGATATCGAGGCGTGCTGTGAATAGAGCGACGTTCTGTAAACGATCTGTTAATTGATAAGTGTTACTTATACCTGCCTGAGATGTTTGAACTTCAGGTATTGGAAAGCTTCTTTTCCTAACTGTAACTTTCTCATGCACGGAGGCTATCATTATATTGTTTAAATTTTCTATAAAAATGTAATTCTACACTTTATCACATTCAAGACTTCTCCGTGTGACCTCCGGAGCCCCATACTTTAGGGGAAAGAAAAGTTAATAGACCCATTGCCTCCTTAACATGCATGCTGTAAAAAGGGACTAATTAGGGAAGTTTTTTTTGAAGTCGAAGTAGGGTCCTAATGGGGCAATGATGCGTAATGCAAGACTATTAATGTCTGTCAGCTTCTTTTAATCAAGCCTACCTCACCTTCACGTGTTCGAAGCTGCTCTTCCCAGCAGTCCACTGGAAGGTTGGGGCCTGGTCACCTAGCGGGAAACTGGATGGGGCAACAAACGAGGTAAAGGCGAAGGGATAAGCCTACTGTAATGATGTTATGAATAGGGATAACGTCAGGGGATGACTGGCATAATTGGGTAAGTCCCTGAGAGCATGGGTTTTCACGGAGATATGGTGAAACGACAAGAGAGAGTGAGTCACGTGTGAATGGGAGATCTGGGGGATTGAGAATCAGGTGGTCATTCGGTGACTGGGCCCCAGACTGGAAGGATGTGAAACTGGATCTGTGAAGATAAATCGAGAATGAAGAGAGCACGTGGATCTGAATCAGAGTCGAATGAATGATCGTGAAGGCCAGCTGTTGTGTTACACTGTTTGATTGTTGAGCCAGCCGTGAATATGCCAGTGTCCATCGTCTGAAGCATGTCTGGAGCTTTAATGCGTGAGCAAGTCGGGACTGTCCGAATGGTGTAAGTTGATTCTACTGTGATTCGTGTCCTGTGCTACAGTGATAATAAACTCGTGAAATGTGTCAGCTGGTGTCAACCGTTGTTTAAAGTCGTGTGACCGTGGAGAGAAATGCCGTCTGGTTAGATTGAGCTGTGACTCTAGACAACAGAGTCAGTGTTAAATCTGCACTAGAGAGATCAAGTGTGGAGGAGACACAAGTGCATTCATTACACCTACTCTTCCCTCTAAACAGATTTTGCAGTCGGAAATACTGCACCAGAAGGTAGATCAAAACCCTCAGTACTACGTAACCCCGCTATACACATGATTACAATGTCAGAGGAATTTAATATTGGTGCTCGGCCTGTGGAGGTGCAGTGCCGCGTCTTGAGCCTGGACAGAATCATCCCATAGCTACATGAGGACCTCCTAGACCGTCTTGTGGAGTCAGGAAACGACGGTAGATGGTGACTTACCAAAACTAGTTAGACAGAAACAATTCCAAATTGCCTTTTGTCATAACGCACTGGAATGCAGAGGAGGTCAACAGTAAGCAGGCTGGCTACAGCAAAACAATCAAGCTGGAAAACATCCTGTATGAAAAGCATGTCAGTGTGTGCTGCGTTTGAGAAACTCATTCGCAAGCAGATCATATCTTTAAAGTAAGAGGCTACCAGTGCTTGGGATCTGATAGACAAGGCAGTCAAAAAGGAGAGTACTGTACCCATATAAAAAATAGGGAACAACTCACTAACTCAGGCCCAGGCTCCGCCTATTTACACACTATGTTACTTTTGATCGGTGCTTGGCCAGTCTCCTAAACGTTGGTCAAGGTTACAGGGGTATCCCGGTTTTACTGGTTGCTCGAAAAGCTTTCTGCGTTGTCTTCTATTGTTGTTTTCATTCCGAGAAAGAGAATGCGTGAGACGTATGCTGCAGCACTTTCGCAGGGTCTTGTGTTAGGGCCAGTTCTGCAGGTTTTGGGACCGTTAAAAGCTCTGACATCCTGGAATATACAACACACGATATCACCAGCCGGTTATGAGAATGCAAAAAGCTTTTCGAACCAAACAGTACACCGGGACACCCATGTAACCTTTAGAGTTGTACCACAAATCGTATACAGTGATCTGAGAAGATGTCTTATGTGGATGGAGCTGAGTACTAACTCCTGCAACTTAAAATTTACACAACTGAATTAGACCTCCTGAGATAATGAATGTTTATAGTTCAGTGTAATTATTTTTTTTTTTCAGTGTTTCAGCTCTGTACAACAGCTCAGATTTGACCTAAGAAGGCAATATTAGGTTTCGTCCTAGTTTATTTTTTTTTATATATTTTGACTTCCTCAAATTGTCTAATTGCTCAGACATATAGTGAGAATGCAGCCAAACCAAACTGAATATTAAAACATCGGAAAAAGGGTGGGGGGGGGGGGTTGGCAAGAATAAGATAAAGAAAGAAATGGATAATTGATATAGCCGAAACCTACAATAAGATTGGGAAAAAATCCATCGCCTAAGCTATCTGAGAAGTGCAAGACAAATACAGAACTATGATACTGGTCTACAGCCTGTTGTCAGTGGAACGACAAAAATAAAACTCCTAGTTCTATTAAACCATCTTTATTTTTTTTTTTTCGTCTTCCTATTTTTATATCGCT